CACGTGGAGGAAGTTCTGCCTCCATTTCAGCCTGGGTACCAATAAAACAGTGGCTTGCTGACATCAAAGCTAATCAAACAGTGCAGTTAAATGAGCAATCATGTAGTTTCTAGAGTATTAGGTTTCCCAGAAGCTATATTACACTGCAGACACAGACAAAAATGCTTTGTGAGATGAAGGAGGATGAACTGGGTCTAAATGTAGATGGGATAAACTGCCTGGAGCTACATATTTCTTGGGCTGACTTTGGAGACTTTATTTTTCAGCTGAGGTTTCCCTAACTTTCTGTATTTTGCTTACAGGTTATGGGACTCTGTTCCTTTCCATGGCAGCCACACCAGTCATTAGATCCAAGCTCTCCAAGCTGGTCAGTGAGACGGAACAAGGTAAGGTGTTAGCCACTAGGCCAGGTCCTAAAACACTGTCTTCTTGGAACATTGAAACCAGACTGCTCTGGGATGTTAGGACTTCTCTGGCTACGCTGGACTCCTGTCCCCCCACATTCACCCTCAGGCCCGGACTAGCATTTAATTTTTTCAGAATTATTGTCATGCATCGCTAAATTTTCAGGATGAGGACAAGAGAAGAAAAGCAAGATAACAAGTATCGAGTTCAAGCTCAGGAGCAGTTCATCCACCCATCTGTCCATTTCCAAACCTTTTTCATGGAGCGAGAGTTAAATGCATTATATAATGAGCTGAAAACAGTGATTTCCCTGACCATGACTCTTTCTGTAGATCAGTAACAGTGGGAAAAAACCTCGTGTTGTTAGAGGGTTATATCATTGACCATGGTGAAAGATTATGGATAACCTGTAGGAGGAGCAAGTTTGCCCTTCTGCCAGTAATTTGTTTGGAGGGCTTGCACTTGCTGTTCAACACCGGACAGGAATGTCTCTGTGGGCAGGTGGAGGGGAGGAGGGAGTTGAGGTGGGAAAGATCAAAAGGTGACTTTGCACAACTTGTGTTTCTTGTATTGAAATGAAGGTAGCACACTCTGGATACCTGATTTACAGGGCTGTATCTAAAAAGTGCAGACTGCTGCTGTACTTAATGTTTAACAAGTGATAAGATGAGCCTGGCAGTAAACAGATTTATATAGCCCTGTCTAAAGCATTTACAATCCAGGTGATATGTAATATCACTGGTAGCTCTGGTGATAGAAATTCTGGAGATCAGCGTGGTGATCCTGGCTACAGAGAAGCTGAGCTTGACAGGTTGGACCTGCCAGGCCAGTCCAGCGTGCGTGGTGTCAGCTCCCAGCTCATGTTTACCACGCTTGACAAGGCAGACACCAGTTTTCTGATGGGGAGTGCAAACCCTTACAAGGGTTCACAGAATCCCCATGAAGGAGTTGATGTTAAAGACATTTGCATTAACCTCTTGTGTATCTTTTCCAGGTGCTCTCTTTGCTTCTGTTGCCTGTGTGGAAGGGTTGTGTTCACTTGTGGCTACAGGAGTGTTCAACTCTCTCTACCCTGCCAGCTTGCACTTCATGAGGGGATTCCCATTTCTCTTTGGGGCTATAATTCTTCTTATTCCAGCAGCTTTTATTGGGTAACTTGCTTCAAATTTCTAAACTTTGCTATAGGATCTGTGAAGTGTAATATAAAAAATTAATATTTATTCTACTTAAGATAGAGTCTCACAGTTTTTAAGGTGTATTTTCATTTATGCTCATGAGAGGGTGTTTAGTGCCCCAGTAAGGAGAGGTGCAGATCCACTTCTGAGTCCTGCAGCCCAAGTCATGTAGCTGCCAGCATTCAAAGTGCTTCAGGGTCTCACTTCGCCTCTCAGAGTGGAGTCCAGAATCTGGAGTTAAAAGTCCTCCTGTATGGAATAGATGGAGCTCTCTTAGCAGTCTCTCTTCCTGTTGTTTCTCTACTAATTAATGTAATTATGTACGTATTAACGCAATATACTAATTAACACATGTCATGACAGAAAGCAAATCCTCTGGTAAGTCTTGGGAGAGAGAGTGGGTTGGGATTTGACGTAGAGGTGCAACAGCTCCTGCCAGGGTGATTTTGTTCTGTTCCTTTGAAACTTTAAAACTCACTTTATTCAGCGACATCCTCATGTGCCTCAGGCTCTAACTGTTCTTTCTTTTTTAGGTGGATAGAAATTTGGGACTCAAAAGATGACTACAGTCACTTCTCAGCTGCGTCCCCATCCCCTGCAGGTGGCGGAGCAGCAACTTAGCAACAAAGAATCAGACAGTGTCCATCTGGAGATCGCTCTTTATTCTACCCTTGAAGGACAGATCAGTGTGGGAAGGACACCTCACTTGTCCTTACTAATTTTTTTAAGTGCCAAATAGCTGGAAATCATGGCTTTGACTGCCAGTAGGAACTTGATTTGAAGATGTGAATGCCTCCTCACCGTTGTGTTGGCTCATCTGTCACTGAAAACCCAAGAGACCCAAAAGCCAATCAAGAGTAAAAGCTGTTGTTGGCCATTTGCAAGGCTGGTTAGTGGTTTGGGGTTTGGTGGGAAGGGAAGATTCTGGGGCATGCTTTTAGTGGTGAGAGAGGACTGAATTTGGGTTTAATTGCCAAATGTTTTCCCCCTGAGTACTACAGTGTGCAGCAGATGAGCTGCTGGTGTGGGTGAGGCCCAGACCAAAGCCTACAGGGCAAGGTTGAAGCAGAGGGTACCCAACAACATGCTGCTGAGGAGAAAGATCTATGCTCTGAATCAGCCTGTTGTTGATAGAAGTCATGCAGACTGTGCATGCCAGACTTGGCTGTTGCAGAAATCCCTACAATGAGTGGTTGTTTATCACAGGAGTGCTCTTGCCATCCTTGCTGACTAAACCAGCTTTAGCTTTGCAGGTTAAAGGTATCCGAGGGAGACAATCTGATGCATGAAGTGCTTGTAGTGAGGAGTGCTGGTGGCATGTCCTGACTGCCTGGATTCAGCATTTCAAAGGTATTTTTGAGAAGTAGTAGCTCATATGAGAATACTACAGTGCAGGTAGGTGCCTTAACTAACAATTGCCCAAACTGATGAAATTAAGGCTAATATTGATATAATTGGGCCTCCCTAACTGAAGAAAGACCTTTACATTATAAATCTGAGTCCTCAACAGTGTTAAATGTGCCCTAGTGTTACGTGAAATCACTGCTATGTTTATGGCTGTGCCAGAAGCTGTCCTTCCTCATCAGCATGCTGTGCTGTTGGGATGAGCTGGTGTGGGGACAGGACTAGTCTCCCTGGAGATAAAATTATGCCCTAGAATTTATGTCAGTGACCTTGCTTCTTCTGCTCTTTTCAGGATATGTTGATGCCAGTAAGCAAACCCCATGTTCATGGTACTCATAATTGTTATTTTCAAAGCATTAACTGTATTGCCTCAATCCTGTTGCCTTCAGGCTGCCATAAACCAGCAGTTCTATGTACATTGCATTGCACACACTGTTCAGATGCATGCAATCATGTCCTCAACGGTGAAATTGCTTAGCAATTACTTTCAGAATGAATAAAACCTCTATTCTCTTTTATGGTTTGTAAAGAGATAGCTTTTCTCGCAGAGATATCGATGTCATTTGTCCTTGCCTCATGCTGCATTTCTCTCCGTTATTTTCATGCTTCTTCCCTTACTGAAGACTCTGCAGTAGAGAATCAGCAGCAGGAAGTTATCTGCCTTGTGGAGAATGAATGTGTGAGAGTCCTGAAGCAGGAAAAATGCAAGTTTGGGACTTGCAAGCAGCTGAAGCTGCTTTTCCTGAACACTGGAGTAAAACTGGTGGGTGTGCATAGTCTGGAACCTGTCCTTCAGTATGCAGTAAATGTGGAATGCTTGTATTCAGCTTTGTTCCCTGCTCATTAGGAGCTTGTGATAGAAGCAGGAGATTTGGGGAGCAGAGAAGCAGGAGGTGGAGGAGTAGGGAGGCTTGAAGAACTTGGTGTTACAGCACTTGACCTGTGTAGTTACATCAGCGGATGTAAGTAGGAGTTCTGTGTCTGATTGATAAGCTAAGCCCAGAGTTGGCCTCCATGAGGAACAGGGCATGCTGTGAGTGTTGCATTAAGTGTTTGTAGCTGAATGGATTGTGAAGTAAAGCTTCTCTACCAACAGGCTCCACCAACTCTAGAAGCTGATCAGCGTGCAGTGAAGGGAAACTCAAGTACGGGCTCTTGCTGTCTTGGTTGTGTCAGTGAGCTTACAAAGGAGAAATTCAGTAGCAACTATTGTGCTCTATTAAAAAAATTAAACTACAGGCTCCATGGACACCAACTCTAGAAGCTGCTCAGCATGCAGTGAAGGGAAACTCGAGTACGGGCTCTTGCTGTCTTGGTTGTCAGTGAGCTTACAAAGGAGAAATTCAGTAGCAACTATTGTGCTCTATTAAAAAAATTAAACTAAAGATTTTCTAGGCTGTTCTCCAAGAACTACAACCATGAAGCAAAGCCCTGATCTATGGATTGTGCCTGTGGGCAGCAGGTAGAGAGTCCTTGGGGATGCAGTGAGCTATACCAGCCCATGCAAAGATGAGTGTGAAGTAGGAGTCCCCACAGAGAATGGTGCCTGGAGAATGTTGGTGCTGCTGCCCCTTCAGAGGACGAGAAAGCATGACAGCAAGAGAGAGCAAGTGGGAGAAGGCTGCAGAGAGAGAAGGATGTGACACAGAGAGAAAAGAAGTGGGGATTTAGAATATAAACCAAATTTATTAATAATGCCTGATAGGACAACATTGAACACTTCCTGACATGACATAGCAAAGGGATAAGGAAGGGGGAGAACAGAAGGATTCATTTTCTTGAGACTGCTCAGAGAGGAAGGGGCTGGGTATGGGATGTTTTGTTGAGAGCAGGGTGAGCTCATTAAGGTGGAGATAACCAAATGGTGGGGAAATAAGAGGAGTCACAGTCTGAACAGCTGGAGCATGAGATGGGATCTCGCTGCAGGTGAGACACTGAAGCTGTAGAGAAAAGTAAAGCTCTGCACTGAATGGTGGGTGAGGAGGTTAATTGCTAGAGAGCTCCTGGGAAACAAAACACAATAATCTTACTGTGTATTATTGTAGGGAGAAAAATCCTTAGGACTGTTTGTGTTGGGACTCCTTTAGTGGTTGTGGAGGCCTTGGTGCTCAGTCAGTTACTCAAGACTTTTCCCTGAAGCAGCTTACAAGTGGCTTTTATCCTTTGGCAGGTTCACCTTTGGGCTCATCTGATGGCTTCCTCCTATTTAATCTGAAGATTAGATAGATTCTATTTCTGATGAGTGCTGGGCAGATAGAGCTATTAACCTTTCACTGGAGAGCAAAGATGCCATTAACTGTGAGCTGATAAGAACTATCCATAAAGCTGTGGTTAAGCACTAGAATTTAACTTCTTTTTTTTTTTTTGTCTCAAAAGATCTAAGCCAGAAGGAAATGTGTTTGTGTTCCTGCCAGCTAAGGCAGGCAGCAAGGCTTCAGGGAGAGCCAGGGGAAGGACCAAGTGGCTGAGACCCCTCATTACCTCCTGAAAGAGCTGAGTTATCTTGAGCAGGGACAGGCAGAGGAGCTTGCTGCTTCTGCAGGGTGGTGCATCAGGGCAGGCTGGTGTCCCCTGGGCACAGCTCGCTCTTCCTCCCGTGCATGCTCTGGACCAGGATGTGTTTTTGCATTATTTGCTTTGCTCTGCATCAGAAAAGACAAACTTGGGTAGGAGCTGCAGTTTCTGGTCCCAATTGCAGAATGGTACGTTGTGAGAGCTGCTCAGCCTCTGAGCAGGGATGAGAAGCAGGACGAGGCTGGGAGTGCAGAACTCAGGGGAGGTGTGTGGAGGTGCCCGTGGTTCCTCACCTGCAGCGTTAGCACCAGTCCTGCTCACACCTGGCAGCCTCCACCTGCCCTTTGCACGGACTTTGCTCTCTCCTGATATTTCAAGGTGAGTAGCTGTGAAAAGACCTGTTAGGTGTTGAGTAGAGGTCAACAGAAGGAAACAAATGCTACTTGATATTGCATCTAGCAGAGAGTGGAGACAACCCTGAGCTGGCGGAGCATAGTCAGGGCTGTGAGGGGCGAGTAGCAGTCAGCAAAGACGTACACCAGCTCCTGTGTGAAGGAACAGATCACAGGAGATCTGCTGTGGAGCACCAACAACAGAATAAACCACAGCCAGCATACAGTAATTCCACAAGTACAGTCCCGCAATTAGCATCTGCTGTATCTGCAGGGATATGTTCTAGAGTGACAACCCAGCCTCCTATGCCCTGCAAGAATAGACCTGATACAGTGGTAGAGCCGAGATACCAGATGGAGGGAAGGGGGTTGGCATAAAGGCATTTTTTGCAAAGACCCTGCAGAAACTTGACGTGGTTTGCAAGAGTTAAGAGCACAAAGTGGTTTTGCAGCATTAGGAGGTGAGAGGCCCCCAAGAAGTGAGTGCATTCATGATAAAGGGAGGTTGCTGAGAAAGAGAAAGCTGCTGCTGGGCATTTTAGAAGCTTCTGTGTTATCTTTCCCAAACACGGAGATTTCGTTAGGGCTTAGCTTTTATTTGCCCTTTCCTGCTCTCAGTTTCTCACCACAATGATCTTCCTTCTGCACCCAGCAGAGGCCATACGATGCTGACGGACCATTCCCTCTGAACTGCTCTCTCTCATGTGTCCTCTTGTGAGGTACCCCTCATCAGTTCCTCAGCCTTCAGTCCTCAGAAGATCCCTGCTCTCCAGACATGTTTCTGGGGGAAACTGCAGCCGTTTGCAGGGGTCTGGACAGTGTCGATCTCCCAGGCACAGCCTGCATTGCAGGAGTCCTGCCACCCCAAGGGAGGGTGTGGAAGACAACTCGTCCATCCCAGAATCCACCCTGGCTTGGCTCACCAGCACTGTGTAAGTGAGTACTGGCCTTCTAGTTGCCAGGGGTTTGCATTTGAAGGGTGAAGGGGGGCTAATGAGCCACAGGTCTTGTCTCAAGACAGACTACTAAAATGGGGAGAAAATCTAGAGGGAGAAATTTGGCCCTGCATAAAAAGGGGTCACCTGGGAAGTTTCTGGAAGGGATGCAGCAGCTGTGCTGGTTCTAGGTCTGCCCCAGGGAGGGCAAGCAGTCCAGGCCATTCTCTGACCCAGCCGAGGAGTCCCGGGAAGAACGGCCCTGGAGGAAGCGGATTATTTTGTCGATCGTAGCCTCCTGGTACTCGTGGGACCACCTGTGTTCAAGGGGAAAATTTAATTTTTCCATTGTGCACAATGCCACCAGATAGTTCAGTTTGTTTGGGCCAGGAGCCAGAGACCCCCATCCTCCACCTCAGCTCACTAGGAGCACCCATTTTCCCCATGGTTTCACTAGGAACACTGGATGCTGCAGGAAAGCCCTTTCTCCTGTGCCCTGCCAGGCTGGAGTGCTGTGAGGAGTTGTGATGCCAGCCTGGAGGAAGCAGGAGGTGAAAGGAACCAGGTCGAGCTGTGAAACCTGCCAGCAGCGATGGGATGGTCAACTCTGGTACCCAGAGGAGCCCCGAGAACCAAGACAGCAGGAGGGCTGTGGTGGGGACCTTTGCTCCCTTCATGCTCTGGAGTACCTGAAGTGACTCACCTCCCCTTTGTCCTTTTCTGCCTCCCTCATCTGTTTTTCCCAATTTCCTTGTGCTCTTTGCTACTGTTATGCAAGATGTTCTCTCCAGGTGTCAAGGAACCCCTTGGCACAGGTTCCTCTTACTTACTTGATACCATTGAATTTCAGGACAGCCCTCATGTCCTCGGGAAGTGTTTCTGGGTCCGGCCACTCAAAATGGTCTGTAACAGGTACAATGTTCTTTCCAGAGTTCAGAGCTGTCACAATCTCCTGCAGGAACATGCAAGTGCTCAGGCTATGGCCCGTGTCAGCCCATCACCAGCCCCTTCCTGCTCCAACACCCACCAAGCTCCCACCTGATGGCAACTCCTACCTTGTGCACCCAGTCCTTGCACTCAGGGTCTCCCATGCATTTATCCAGTGCATTTGGAGAGAGCACCAACACAAAATTGCGGGCACTCATGACGCTCTGGATCAGCTTGTCCTCAAACTTCCCTGCCTCCAGCTTCTCCACATCAATGAAGACACTGAAGCCGTGCAGCTGCAGGTGGACCTTCAGCAGGCTGGTGGCAAGACAGGACAGCACCATGAGGAGAGCTGCTGCCAGAACCTTGATTTCATGTGCTCTCCCACCACATCAGTTGAGACACAGTGAGACAGAGGAGCGGATGAAGAGGCTGCCACAGAGAACAGCATGGTCCTTGAGACACCAGCTCCAGCCCAGCCTGCTCACAGGTGCCTGGGCCCATGCAGGAAACATGGGGAGCAGAGATTAATGCCCTGCTGTGATCCCCTCCAGCCCTACGAGCACAGGGTGAGAAAAGGGTGAGTAGGTATCAAAGAGGGATGGGGTGGCAGTGACAGGATTGGGAACCAGCCTGTCCACTGTGCAGCTTGGGGCACATGCTGTCACCATTTGTACTTGCTGCTTTGGGCAGCCTCTCCCTCCTCCCCACCGCAGCCTGCGGCTCTCCTGGCTCCACACTCTTCCCATAACTGGCCACCAGCCTTCGCTCTGGGCTTTGGCCCAGCACCGTTTCGTTGCCCTCAGGACTCACCTGGCCAGCTGGGACCCGCTGCTCCTCCGGTAGCTGATGAATACATCCGTCCCATCAGATGCAGTCTGCAGCGTTATAGGGGAGTGAAGCATCTCTAGGCAGAGCAAACAGCGACCAAAAGTTAAAAACACCCAACGACTCACCCCAAATCACCCTCGGCGCTCACCCCCACCCGCCCGAGGGGCAGCGGGGCCCGCACCCCTTGCAGCAGTGAGGATGCGGACGCGGTGGAAACCCGTGTGGATGTGACAGTCCTCCTGCAGCTGCTGCTCCGTCACCCGGTGCAGGAAGTTGCGGTTGATGCCGCAGGTGAGCAGGTTGTAGGTGTACTGGCGGAACCGGGGGTCGATGCCGCCCAGCCAGTCGGCCAGGTTGCTGCGGTCGCAGGTGGAATAGTTTGCGAAGGTCTTCAGCTCTGTCAGCTCCCGGAAAAACCTGGCGGAGACACATGAGAGCGGGGAGGGGAGGCTGCAGGAGCAGGCAGGGCTTGTGGACGTTTGGAACCCCAGCTTTTATCTGCACAGGAGAGAGTGCAGGTGAAGAAGGAGCTAAAGGAATAGAAAATGAGAAGAGCTGTGTGACTGCAGGAGTGTTGGTCCTCAGAACACACAGGTATGAGGAGCTCAGCTAAGGGAGGAGAAGCTCAGGTAAGTTCTCATCGTTCTGGGTAACTCCCCTGTGGCATAGGTGGTCTCTCCCCATCCCACACCTCTCCCATGTACTGCCCCCACTGCAGGAATCCCTCTGGGACTGCATGCTGTGCTGGAAGAGCCCTTCTGCATTTTGAGGATCTCTGTCCTTGTCTTTGGCAGAAGGAACAGTCACAGACCTTTTCCCTGGCTCTGCCACTGCAGTGATGACTGTGAGAGAGACCAGGATGCTCTGGTGGCAGACCTACCTTTTCCGAGTGATGCTGGAGTCCATCCCCAAATCATCCTCCAGTTCCTCCTCCGTGAGCCTCAGGAGAATGTCCCCATCCACCTGATGGTCCTGCCAAGAGAAATCCAGGCTGGAAAGATCCCAGGAGAAGCTGTTGGGTGAGATGCTTGCATCTCTGCTGCAAGGTGGGGCAAAAGGCCCCATCCAGGTGTCCCTTCCCTGGCCCATAGTCCTACCAGGAAGCTCTGGCAGTATTTGTTGAATCCAATCTGCTGCAGCCATGTCTGCACCTCGCAGGACTTCCAGTTGGGAACCGTGGGCAGGATGCGCCGGGGAACTTCCTCCCCTATCATGCGCAGCACCTTTTTGGCCAGGGAGGAGGTGGTGCTGCTGGTGGAGTAGCACACTACCCTCTTCAGGCTCTGCGTAGCCCCGATCTCACTGAAAATCTGGGGGGACAAAGGAAAGAGGCATCACTTTGCTTTCCCTCCTGCCCCCCACAACCTGTGCCGGGCCAGCTGGGGTACTCGGTGAGCATACAGAGGAGCAAAAGATATCAAGATGCAGTTGTGGCCAGCTCTTCCTTTTTGCACCTCCTTCTTGCAGGCCAGCCTACCCTTTACCTTGGTTTTGTTCTGCCTGGTTTTGATGGCAGCCTCGGTGCAGAGGTAGAAGGCAGCGATGCACTGCGCTTCCAGCCGCGAGCTGTCCAGCAGGGACACCAGCCGCTGCAGGTCGTCTGCTGTCCTGCCCTGGACGTTGTCACTGCTGCCCAGCATCTCACAGGCAAACTGCTCGGGGTCCAGCGAGGCGATGAACGGCTCCACCAGCGCCAGCGTCCCCGAGCGCTCCACCTCCTTCTCGATCTCTTTGTTGGTGGCCAGCACCGTGATGGCCAGGCACGCGTGCAGGCGGATGAGTTCGTCGTCTCTTGAGAACACCAGTGGGAAAAGCCACTCTGCCGTCCTCTTCTCTATCATCAGGCGCTGGTTGGCCTGACCTCCATACATGGCACAGTTGGCCAAGGCCATGGCGCAGTGCCGCAGCACGACGGGGTCTGTCCAGCGGCACCAGTAGAGGATTGCATCCAGGCCTCCATCGGAGATGAGCTGGAAACAGGTCTCCTCGGTGTGTTTGAACATGTGCTCCAGGATACCAGAGACGCTCTGCGCCAGCTGGGGGACATCTCGCTCCTTGGCTAAGTTCAGGATCACACCCAGACCGATCCGAGCGATCCGATCCCTGCAGGAAGGAGAGGCACAGGGAGGTGAGGGGCAGACAGCTGTGCAGGGAGTGAGAACAGTGGCTGGCGTGTGAACTCCCCTGTGCTTCAGTGGCATTTGCCCCTTGACACCCAGATGTTTCCCTGGGTGACACAGCTGCCAGATGTGCTGTCAGGCCACAATGCAGTGAGATGCAACGAGCTGGTGTTGGAAGAAGCTGGAAAGAGCTTGTGATGGGACAGGACATGGGGTGCATAGCTAAGGACCACCATGCCAGAGACTCTCCTGCTCAAGGTAGGATGTGCATAACAATTAACAGTGCAGGGTGGGCTAGAAATAGATCTGCTTAGTCAGCTTTGCTGGGGTGTGTGAGTTGCTTTGTGTTCAGGAGTGAAAACTTGTTTGTCCCTAACCAGGGGTTTCACACCTGGCTGAGCAACCACACCATGGGGGCGTGTGAGAGTTGGGGGTCTGCCTGTCCTGGGATGGCAGTGGGGAGGAAAGCTGGTTATCTCCTCAGTCCTGCGTGCTCCTAGAATAGGACAGCAAGAGCTTGGGTGCTGTGAGGATGGTCTTAAAAAGACACCTGAGTGGGGCTGTGCCCTGAAAGCGTAGAGTGAGGAAGGGGGAAATGGCTTTAGGATGCACTCTCCTGAGCTTGCCTGGGGCAGCTCCATCTCTGGCCTTAGGAATGACCCCTTTGGTGCCATGATGGAGCTGCTCTGCTCACAAGGTTCAAGTGCTCCATCACTCCACCACCTCAGATGGGCAAGGGAGAGAAAAAACATGATGAAAGGCTTGTGGGTCAAGCCCTCAGTCTTGATAAGACCAGTTTAATAAAGCAAAAGGAAAAACAACATACAGAAGCAGATGAAAACAAAAACTTTGTGCTCTACTTCCCATCACCAGATGATGTCTGGCCACTCCCCAGGAAGCTTCAGTACGTGTAGTGGTTGCTTCAGAAGACAAATGTAAATGATGAATACCCCCCCTGCCCCCTCATCCTTTCTCTTAGCTCTTATTGCTGAGCTGATGTCCTATGGTCTGAAATATCCCTTTGGTCAGTTTGAGTCAAGCTCTCCTGGCTGTGTCCCCTCCCAAGATCTTGCCTCCCCCCAGCCTACTGGTGAGGAGGGAACGTTGGAGAGACACTTTGATGCTGTGGAGCATTGCTGAGCAGTGGCCAAAACTGATGTGTTATCAATGCTTTCCTAGTTACCACTACAAAGCACGGCACTGTGAGGGCTGCTGTGGGGAAAATTAACTCCATCACAGACAGAGCCAGTGCAGCTATTCATGAGGGCCCCCAGTGATGGTGGGGTGAGGACCCACCAGCCTCTCTGCTCTGGCAGGAGAGAAGAGCAGTTCTGGGAAGCCTGTGGCCCACATGGCTCATGTTGACCTTGGGGTGGGTTTGGCAACAGACACTGTGGAGAGCTCTGGAAAAAAAGCCCTGAGCCTGGCTCAGAGCCCGAACTCAACCATGGAGCTGGATGACAAATGCAGCCCTGCCAGGTCCATGACTCCCCGCAGCCGTGGGATGGAGCCAGGTCTGGTCCAGCTCCTGGCTGAGGGCTGCTCCTGCTGCATGCTCCTGCTGGGAGAGATCTCTAAGCCAGAGGCTTGGACTGCCGTGGAGGGGACCCTACACCTCCCTGCCATCGCTCAGAGGCTGATGGTGGGTCAGGCTGTGGGAAGTGAAGGGGTTGGGGGTCCACAGCTGCTCTGAGACCCTGGCCCATTAACTGCTCCTGGAGGAGAGACAGTGACTCCAACAGCTGCTTTCTCTTGCCAGGAAGCTAAGTGCTGAATTCAGACCCTGCTAGGGATGTTTCCTGGGATCAATTCCACTCTAATGGACTTTCCTGATTTAGCTGTTGCTTCTTTTTGCCTGCCAGGGCATGCGGCGAGGCCCAGGCTGCAAGTCTACAACCTTACAGCCAGAGACATCACCCATGAAGCAGGAGTGGGACTGTAAACTTCAGCCAGGCTTCCTCCATGCGTGGCCGAAGCCCTGGCTGGGGCTGGCTGGGCTTAAGTGCACTGAGGGAGAGCAGAGCTGGCAGAGCCACACGTTTGCCTGCAGGGTCTCAAGAGAGAAGGGCCTGATCCTGACCCAGCCCACAGCAGGTACAGAACTCCTCTGGGACTGGCACACTGCAGGTGGTGCTGCCAGGGTGTGCCAAAAAGAACACGGGGCAGATTGGAGGACCTTGTGGGAGTGTCTTTGTGGTGTTTAAAGGCTGAGTTGCGTGTGGGCACTGCATCAGCACCCCTGTGTGTTGGGGTGTGTTGGGTGCCACGTGTGCACACTCACACTCGTGTGCTCATATGCACACGCACACGCTCCCAGCCCGCCCGTGCCAGTGCTCCAGCAGAGCCAGCCCAATGCCTCTCGGCTGTCCTGGGGAGCAGCACACATCTCCAGCCTCTGAGCTCGCGGTGGCTCTGGGGGCTGCTGACCAGCCAGCCCCCTCCTTACTCCAGCCCTGGTCAGCATCAGAAAGCTGTTGAGAACTGGCTTTGTCCTCCTCCTGCTGCCACGGTCGTGGCTAAGGGGGAGTTGTGTCTCGTCCTTGGGGTCAGATGCTCTGGGCCAGCTCAGCCA